AACCCTAGCCTGGAGACAGGAACGGGCTCTGCCAACTAACTCAGCCAGACACAGCAGGTCAGGAGGAACCTTTGACTGTTCAGTCTGAAGGCAGGAAGAAAACTGGCCCTATAGGGGGAGAGGGAGGAGCCTCCTAGTCCAGCCCTGGCCAATTATTTTTCTTCAAAGAGAGCCTGCCTCCTGATGGATGGAGAGGAGTGCCCCCTCCTTGGGTCTGGACCACTAGAAGGCAACAAATAAAAAGAACTGAATGCCCCAGGTGTTCTGATATGCTTCAATCCAGATATGACAGACATACTGTTGGTTGGAGATAAATCTGGTTAAGGAATGGCCTTACGACTTTTTCTGGATGGGGTTGTACTCTCCCCAATCCCCACAGTATAGGACCACTACTGGATGGGACCACGACCCACTCTGTTACTCACGAGACAGACGGCAGAGGTGTCCAGGAGTGCACTTTCTCAGCTTAGCCTAGTCCGGCTGCTGAAGCTGCGCCTGGAAAGGGCTGACCTGGTCACAGCCATTCGTGTCTCAGTAATGTCTCAGTACCGCGCTGTTGATTTACCTGGGATACTTAGAACTGCTGTTTGACTTGGCAGCAGTCTCCACAGAGGACTCAGCTGGTAAAGTGCTTTCAGTGCAATTCCAATGGTAAACAGTGAATACAAGCACAACGTCCCCAGTACAAGTCAGTTAGCCTTTGTTGCTGTTTTCCCTGCAACCAACTTATATGTCTGCCCCTCTGGAATGTCAGCTTTTGACCAGAAACAGGCAGGATCTGGCATGTAAAAGCACACACTGCCTCGTTAAGCGAACAGCACATTTTATGAGTTACTAATTATCTCCCGAGTATAGCTATGTCCCAGTCATACATTCTTCCCATTGATCACATGATAAACTCAAAAGGTTTCTGGTTTCCAGCATTAAAACAACTGGCACCAAACTCCTCAGGGATTACAGAAAACTCCTGAGCTGGTTACTCAGCCCCCACTGGGCTGTAAGAATAATTAAGTAGGATAAATCAGAAGAATTTAGGTGTTACCTGATTGACCATGCCATTAAGCTGCTCAGAAAGCTGGCGGAGACTTTCTGTCAAAGAGAGGGACCTTGAAAAGGAGCAAGATGTGTATCTTTAATAAGGGAGCTTGGTAATACGTTTGAGGGTGGTGGGGATGATATTTTAAAAAGTGCAAAAAAGATGACTCTCACCTATTTTCTTCCAAGGCATTTGTATGAATATCAGAGTCACAGATCTGTGGAATAAAACAGACAGAGATAACTTAATGACACAGAAAACGCTATGTGTAAACGTACATTAATGTAAATCACAAATAACTTTCATTAATACAAAATCAAGTTGGCTGAAACATCCTTATTTCTATTCTGTATTTATCATCAGAGAGAACATGAGTAAGTCCCAGAACAATATACAAAACTCAAGCTGAAAAGATTTCCTTTATATCTAGCATTTAAAACAACACATTTTCAAACATCAGAAAGCAGAAGAACTAGAAACAGAGGGGGTTTTGTTTTTAAATGAAAGCTGCTGTTCACGTGATTCTAACAAGAGCTTGCAGGCCAGAGGAAAAAAGTGTTTAGAGAGCCATGTTGCTTCCTACGGCTCTAGAACAAATGACCTCTTGCAATGACATTATGTCTAACAAAAGAGCAAATCGTACATCTCAGATCTCTTGGCATACTGTGGATCCAATTCCTCTCTCAGTTGATCTGCATCACAATTTAACCCTTTGGAAAGCCTGGGCTACCCTCAACTCATGCTGAACTTGCTTCACGATAACGTACAGAAGTGTTCAGTACAGGGTGATGCAAAATTCACAAACCTGTGGCGGATGTGTGCTAGCAGGACCCGGAGCGGCAGAGCTAGGCACGCTGTTAGACAACGTGGGGACACCAGCAGCAAGTTGTTCAGCATTATGAGTGGAAACACCACCATCACAGTATGCCTGTCACAAAACACACCACAAGGATTACAAGCGCCATGCAGGTGGGAGGGACACAAATGAGCCCATGCACGCACAGAATTTCTGCAAGCATCTGACAACCTTAAATGTGCACCACAAATGTGCACTTTCCTGGACAAAGCTACATCCACCCATTAAAAAAACTATGTAGTCTTTCAGTGTTTTGTGGTGGCTTCCCACAGACGTTAATACTTGCACTCTCTGTCTGCATTGACATTATGCACGTACTAGATTTTCTTTGAAGACAACAAACAATGACCAGGCAAAAGCAGGACAGTGTTATGTTGGCTGTTTACTTTTACAAAGTGCCCATCTCTGTGAAAGAGAGCAATCTGGGAGGAATGGAAAAAATGAGTTAGTGGCTACACAAGTAGAGTTAGGCAAAAGAAAAGCATCTCCCCCAAGGTGTTGCACATAACTTCTAGGGCAAGAAAGTCAGAGGCTAGCACCAGAAAATATAATCAGATCCAAGAGAAAGAGGGATACTGAACTCGTACCCACTAACCCCAAATCTGTTGTTTTTTTTAAAATAATATTCATCAAAAGATTGGATAGAGACAAAATAATACCCACTAACCCCAAATCTGTTTTTTTTAAATAATGTTCATCAAAAGATTGGATAGAGACAAAATATACTCAGTCCAAGAAAGCCCATGGAAGAAGTTCTAAGCTTCTGAAGAAAAGGCAGTGGATTGTTCCTTCTCCAACCTGGGCTGATGTTATGCCCCTGTGGTATGATTACAGTGATCGTAATCAGGGTAAGTTATTACATCTTAATGCACTTTTAAATGTTGCTAGGATGATTGGCACCCCGTATCCCAAAATGACATGCACTATCAACCTTCATTCTAACATACTACCACAGCACACAGGAGAGACAGAATGGCGTCTGTTAGCTTATCAAAATATGCATTTTGTCATCCGACATATCCTGTGTGACATCCTGGTCAACAATGCGACACACTAGCCCTAGTGATAAAAGCAAAGTCACAAACAGAAATATTTTGGAACTGTGACATGCAACAAGCTTCAAGGAGAAAGAAGAAACTTATGTGGGTCACGTGAAAGTGTTGAGACCTCAGTTTGTCCTGAGACATCAAAATTTACAAGCTGTGCCATCCAGGGCCATCTTGACAAGTTTCTGTCCTGACTTAACGCAGCTGCAGAGGAAGAGGAATGGACTGATTGTCCAACTCGCATTGTAAAGGCACTAACCAGAACTAACTCAGCTGCCTGCCATTCATCTTTTCTACACCAGTAGTGTCAAATAAACGTTGCAGGTCAGCATTTCAACATTCTACCAACAGGAACGACAGCAGAAATTCTCCATCTTGCTACAGCTTCTACCGAAAACAGTAACATCCTAAAAGGCCTTTTGTATTAAAACCATCTCAAGCAATATCACTTACACAGAAGGTCTACTCTGCCACACATTTCACCAAGATCTCATTTTTCCTCGCCAGTGTTATGCAGGTTAATATTGTTCCCATCTGGGCAGGACAGCACAGCTCATTCAAAGCTACCAAGTACATTCTTGACAAAATGTCATGAAAACTTGGAACAAGTGTTCAAGCACACAGGCCACTGAATCTCATCATCTAAATAACCACTACTGGCCTACATTTGCACACCAAACTAAGCCTAAAGGATTAGTTCTATCAAACTAGTATCCTGAGGTCAAGAATTACTGCCTCATACCAAGGACCAGCTCCTTCCTTGTTTATTGCTACCAGACTTATCCTAAAAGACTCAGATTGATACAGTCTTCTTATCTCCCAAAATACAGGCCTCTGTTATTTTAATGCTACCGTCGAAGCACTGAGGTTGAGTGACTTTCCATGTTTAAGCTGGGACTAAACCCAGGTAATTTCAAGACCAAGCCTTCAAAGGACTTTGAAAATATTCTTGAGAAATAACAAGAAGGTGGACACACATTTTCTCACAGGCTGGCCAACTTCATAAGAGATGTTGGGTAGAGAAAATTCTTGTAACTGCTTTTTTCTGCCTATGCTCAGGTTCCCATCGGAACAACATGGGACTACATCTCATCTATAACTGGCTCAAAAGAAATACATCACAGTGAACTATCTACCACAGTACATAGATTCTACCTTTTTGTCCCTGACACAGTAACCAGTATGCTTACCTTGATCATCAAATACAAAATGGAAAAGGAGCTCTGAGTCTAAATGGCTCTCACAAATGTAAAGTTACTTTTTGGTGAAGATGTGACAAAGCTAAAAGCAAGGCTTTATTTCTGGGTTTCTATTATAACTAACATTTCGTTTTCAACTACCAGAACCTGGGCTAGTCAAATCAACTCAAAATGTGAGTCTTATTTTTCCTAATGCATATACACATCAGCAGTCCTTGAAAATACAAGGAATATGAATACCCCAGAATCTACAAACACTTGACAGAAGGTATGCCTGACTTCCTGCTTAGGCATACCTGAATGTATATTGCTTCCCACACTTTATCACTTGCGCAAGTTCCATCATCTGTCTGAACATGATTGGCATGAATAACCATACAGCTCATTCACCAAGCTGAATGTTTTATTAGAGATGAGTGAGAACTTGCCCTCTGTGATGAAATGCTTCTAAATAAAAACCACGTACATGAAGAAAAGAGTATCACAAGAGCAAAAGTCATACCCAGCCTGTAGTCCACAGCAAACAATGCCACATGCATTCAGTCACTATCACCCTGGAAACAGGAAATGTTGGGGGGAGCTATCTCTACCCAATCCCCTCAGAGATGCCTGACATTACTGCAAGCAATTGCTGTAAGCGAAGCTATCTTTAAAAAGTCAAAGGCACTTCCTTTCCTCACTTGAAACTTGAGCCAAGCCAAGGAAAACACACATAAGAGCAACGAGGAAAAAAACCACAGGTTAAAAATAGGTCTATGTTAATGATGGCAACAACATTCACACAGTTGGCAATGAATATCCTTAAATGAGGTTCTATTCCATCCACCCACTAGTTTAAAAAAAAAACAATCCCTCATTTTTAAACAAGATCTGAAGCATGCAGTATGGACAGCAAACCAGCCAGACAGATTATTCTGAATGCTGCCTCACCTTCCTCTTGTCCAATGAAGGTATGGCTACCCCATTGGAGCGGTTAAGGTCTGACACCAGCACCTTCAGAATGTTCTGAATCTAAAGGAGGTGAAAAGAAAAGGGGAAAGAGAAACAGCTGAGAAAAGGGACAGAATGACAACACGGGTCAAATGGGTTCCTGAAGCCCCAAGGAGCAAGAAAAAAGGATACTGGCTGAGACCCTAAGAACACCTAGATGAAAATCATTTCTGAAATCAATGGAGCTTACGTGCAAGTAATCTGTGCTCAGGATCAGGAAGCAACACTTGCCCCGAAGGCAAAGTCCAAAACATCCTCAGTCAGCATTTCCCAGTATACAACTATAGCAGGGGTGGCCAAACTTGCTTTAACGTAAGAGCCACATAGAATAAACGTCAGATGTTTGAGAGCCGCAAGACATGAACAAATATTACACACACATTTTTATTGAAAAATATGCAAATCTGCTTTTTATTAACATTAAATTAGACTGTGTGAAAGAGCCACATGTGGCTCCCAAGCTGCAGTTTGGCCACCCCTGAACTATAGGATCAAACGCCTGTTTCTAGAGTTTACCTGACCTTATTCATCCTATCCGTGTAAGAGTGAGAAACATATCACCATGTTCAGTTTCTTACAACTTTAAACTTTACCTTCAAGGAGAACTAGAAGGGTAAAGACGATAGTAAGCCACTCACGTTTTCAGGAGACTCCCTGCCGTCATTAGTTGGCGACTCCGGCCTACTTCCTTCTTTACCTTTGCGTTTCTTCTTGGCTCCAGTTGTTATTCCTGGGCTGTTCTTCTGCTGATTTTCTTTCAGCTGAGAAATGGAAGAAAAACTTGAAAGTTCAACTAAGTAAACCTTCTGTGCCCCAAAACTAAGAACTACAATAAGACATGTTTCGTGTTCTAGAATGAAGTGATTAGGAAAATGACCAAGCGTGCTTACTGGATTTCACTGGTGGGGGTATATTTCCAGAATATTTACAAACTTAAATGCATACAGTCACTATGCGAAAAAACCTCACTGGAGCTTTTATGCCTTGTTTTGTGTTTGGCAAAGCTTCAAGATCTTAGGTGATATTTTAGGTTCAGCTTGACTGATCTCTTGAAATGTCCTTTACCTCCATTCCCTGAGCAATCACAACAAAAGATGTAGATACAAGGTAAGAAGAAATGCCTATCATGGGTCAACAGACTATTCAGACTACACAGAGAGGTCAGTACAGACCTTCAGCAAGTTTAGTGCCGTAATCTCAAGCGTTACAAAACCACCAGATAACAAGTTTTGCAACCATTTGCAGCACCTCTGAAACAAACTAAATACTTCTAAGCAAAAACTAGTCTATAGCCATATGAGAGCTAGCTAATGTATGTAGGAAGGATGCTTTGCTGAAGCCCTATTTTCAGATCACTCCTGTTGCTGTGCATCTCGAACAACAAGAGACTATAGACCATCTCATGTTGTTTATGCCTACCCTGGACAAATATCAGCTTCCTTTAAAGCACTAGTAAGATGGAAATGGTCTGTGCTCTTTGAGATAACTGTTTACAAGTATTACCATATTTTATCCTTCATGTGTTTTGTTTTATTCTACTGTACTGGTTTTGACCTTTGCTCGAAGGAGTTTATTAATAAAAGGAAAGGAAGGATGCTAGGGCATTTCAGGAAGAAAGACTAACATTTCAGAAGAAATAAATGTCCATAATTAAAGCCAAAACATCTTAGGAACTACAAATATGTGACCTGCATCACTGAAAGGGAAAAAGACCTACTGCCATTCATTTAAGAGCTACATTGTTTTCTTCCCAATAAAACAAAGTAAGGCCTATTCAGGAGGCTCAAACATAACACTAAACCAAACTACAAACAAGTATTTTGACAGAGGATTATTTAGATATTTTCCTTCGTTATCTGATTTCACAAATACTGGAAAAATGCAATGTGCTTTTAACACTACACCAATATAAAACAAGCATTGACCTTAATATTCCATCTGGTGGTGGGGTGTACACAAATGCCTACTACGCCATCACTGTACCAAGCCACTCTTTCAAAACTTCTCAAAATCTACTTTTGCAATTTTACCCTCAACATTCTACCCCCAAATATACTGTACCATCTTCTAGTAAGTGACCTATACCAGCTTTCCTATAGATTTATTAGTTCTTGACTTACTGCCATCCTGAAAACTTCACATCTTATGCCTCATCAATCTAAATGCGGCTCATGTCTAATGCAATTAATAAGCTAAAAAAATCTACAATACAAAACAAGAAATAACTGTCAGTGATTAAAAGCACAAACACAGAAATGCAAAATACTGAGGAACGAAACCTAACAAAATCATCCGCTACAAAGCAAACTCCAATACCATCGAAAGCCTTTCAATCATCTGTTCTGGGCATCTAACGACCATTCAAAATTGACAACTGTGAACCTTCTTGGAAAGACAGTTTCACAAACTCAGCACTACTTACAAGAAGGCCCTGGCCAGCCACATCTCAGCCAGTGGCAGAACATGGAGCAGGACCTATGATAATGATCTTGAAGCGAGGGTAGTTTCACATGGGAGAAACTGAACACACGGCTGTCTCTAAAATGCTCAGCATTAGCACTTCTAAACCATCTCTGTCCCAGAATATTCACACACCAAAGTGCAAATATGAACTCCACTGAGTCCTTAGGACTTGATACCGTATAACATATACACAGCATATAAAATGCACAACGTTTCCTGGGACTCTTAAGGCTTTAGGAAAACCTGTGCTTCCAATCAAATTTTTCCAGAGAGCTAATTCAAACTGAATTGATCCACCAGCATCTCTTATAAGCATCTCCATATAAGACCAGCATCCCCATATAAGACCCCCCCCCTTCCTGTGGTGTGTTTGACTTTGGTTCCCTAGAGTAAATCTGTCTCTATGCCTGTTTTTTCCCCCAGTGCAAACACTACACTCCATGTAAGCAGTTTCACGCAAAACCTGAACATCAAAGTCAATGAAACCAGCCCTTCTAGTTCTTCTGAGTTAAGTCCCAGGAGAACCAGAAACATCAAACATCCAGATCTCTATATATACAGTGATGCTTGCTATTCAATCCTATGCATTTTATTTGGAAGTAATTTGCTCTGAACTTAACAGAATGCACTCCCAAGCAGTTGTTCACAGAATTCAATTCTGATTTGCTAGGAATAGGTAATCAGTTCTACTCTAAACTATGACTAACAAACATTAGCTTCTTGATTTTGATAAAATAATTAAAAAGCCAAGTTTGGCTGTTCAGCATTAAAATGGAATTTCTGGCCTAAACGTGGCATTTATTTCTGTACAAACCTGTAGCCAGGCTGCTTCCTTTTTACGTTTATCATTTGTAAGTTTTCTATATTCTGTAGGCGTCTTTGGACAATCTGATTAATGGGAAAACAGGTTATTAAATGCTTTTAAATAAATAATCAGTCCTAAGATGATGCATCCAAATTTCATCAGAGTGTGAGACTGAACTGCATTTAGGTCTAACCCCAAATCTGAACAAACTCTAGCAGGATCTGGGAATCCCTACAGCCTTAACCACTTCATAATCCTACAATACCATCCACTGTAACCCTTAGAGGAAGAGGTGGTAGGCCACCCTCTTCTCCTAGAAAAATCTGAGAAATTATTTATCTACTAGCCTCCCGTAAGAACACTCTGTCATTCAGAGAGTAAAGGAAATTGCAACAAGGATTATGCCTTTCTCACACCTTGCTCCTACAAACAAAGGTACTGGCCTCTTGAGACTGGAAGGTGTGAAGGTTTTTATTTACTACTGAATGGTCTTTATTTACTATTACACACAACCAAGATACTACAGAAGCATAGCTACACCTCAAACTTTTGGTTGTCTGAGGCAGAATTCAGCTGATGCGAACACCTCCCTCTTGAGACACACAATTCCTGAGGAGCACATGGTACACAGTGACCGCAGTTCTGGCATGCGGATATTCATCCTAAAGCAGCCTGGTGGGTACAAAGAACCATCTTGGAGATGTCACTACCTCATTTTTTGCCACAGAAAGGTTTTCAATGATAAATGTAAAAAGCTGCCTAGGGCAACAAGTTTATAATACATGCACAATGGCACTGCAAGTTCATGCGACCACTCTAGGACGCTCTGCACAACAGGCACGCCAATTACAGTGGCATCTGCGGAGTTGTCATTGACCGCCTCTATTACACCAAAGCCAAAGAAGTAATGCACACAGGTGGCAATGCCCAAACTTTCATCTGAGGAAGTGGCTTCACCCTGCTTGGGTGGTATGTCTGCTCTGAAGATTGACACTTCTTACAGGACCCAGTGCATGTACACAGGCTCCTTCAAACTCCTACACAAATGAGGTGCAAAGCTTGGGAGGTCATCCTTTTATACCTCCAGTGCTTTGGAGCTTGTGATCATCTAGCATCCACCAATTATACAGGGAGGGGGGATGCATGCGTAGCCCAGCAAATCTTTTCCCAAACACGTAGAGAGAGGAATTAGGAGATGTACTGTGAACTTTAACTCAACCTCCAGGTTATTTAAAGGGCTGGGGGGGAGAGGTGTTTGCTATATACATAAAAGTGTGGGGAAAATACTTTTGTGAGATTGGTCCACAAAGTGTCACTACAACAAAGAGGGAATGGAGTGTTGGGAGAAGCGGCAGAAACAAATCCTCTTCCACACATTCAGAGCCAACAAGAGCTGCCTGGGTGCTGGTAGGCAAACACTTTCCCCCAGTTAATGTGGCCCTAGGTAAGAAATTAAAAATCGTATGTAAACCGCTCAGAGACCCTTCGGGGTTCGAGCGGTATGCCGGTATATAAACTGAAAGTTAAAATAAAAAGTTAAAAGCCTGCATATAATGCATGTAACAACAGAAGAAGAGAAGAGATTGGATTTAGAAGCCTGCATATGATGCATGTAACAACAGAAGAAGAAGAAGAGAAGAGATTGGATTTATACCCCACCTTCACTCGGAGTCTCAGAGCAGCTTACAAACTCCTTTCCCTTCCCCTCCCCACAACAGACACCCTGTGAGGTGGGTGGGGCTGAGAGAGCTCTGACACAAACTGCTCCTTCAGGAACAGCTGTGCCAGAGCTTGTGACTGACCCAAGGTCACATCAGCAGGTGCAAGTGGAGGACTGGGGAATCAAACCCGGTTCTCCCAGATTGGAGTCCATGCACTTAACCACTACACCAAACTGGTCTTCCACCTTCCTGCAAAACCTACATGGTAGTGGGGAGAAAACTCCCAGACATCCGAGGCATCTGTAGTGTGTTTAAGCAATATAGGTCTCTTCCTCCCTCCCCACCCAATCTGCATGGAAGCATTTAGAATGGTCCACCAGGGGCCTTTCCCATCAGACCCGGGCGGGCCGTGTGTGAGAATCCTTTTCTTTCCCCAGGAATTCAAGAAATGCAACTAGGCTCTTTTGCAAGAAGAGAACCTCCACGAAGCCTACACGAGGGGGTCCTCTTCCAGGTATTCAAGGGATAAGTAAGGCCTGAAGCCTAAATAAAAGCGTTCTTCTTACAGGCATAAGAGGGGCAGCATCCAGCAAGTTTAGAAAGGGGGGAAGGGAGCCCCACAACACAACCTGCCCGTGCAGGTTAGGCGGGAATATAAATCGAAATAAATAAATAATTAATAACCATCATGGGGGGGGGATCCTCTTCCCGACATAAAACACACACACCCCAAGCAATGCTCCCTGTAAGCTGTGGGGGTCGTGTGAGCAAAAAAACCCTGCTTGGTGAGCCTCCGGGCCTTAAAGTTGCGGGTGAGCCGCGTCTGGCTGCTGCATCAGCCAGTCTGCCCTGGAGACCTCCCTCCCCCAGCAAAGGCCCAAACCCTGTGAGCCGGCGCACACGCTAACTCAGCTTAGAGGGAACCCTGAGTCTAGGGTTGCCAGCCTCCAGGTGGGGCCTGGGGGTCTCCCGCTTTCACAACTGGTCTCCAGTTGACAGAGATCAGCTCCCCTGGAGAAAATGGAGGCTTCGAAGGGGCGACTCTAGGGCACTGGACCAGGCTGAGGCCCCTCCCCTCCCCAAACCCCGCCCTCTCCCGGCTCCACCCCCAAAGTCTCCAGGTATTTTCCAAACCAGATTTGGCAACCCTACCTTTTTCTTTTTTTTAATAATAATTTTTGTTTTATTAGAAATACACAAATACAGATACGCAGACGAAACGTTTTTGAAATGGCACAATAAATCCAAATATAAACTCTCAAGCAAGATTTCCACATTGTTATCAATGTGTGTGTATGTATGCGTGTAAGCGTGTAAGTACAATTATCCATAAACCTTTGTTAAACCTTCTAACGATATTAAATAAAATTGTGCAACTCGTAACCGTGTGAAGTATATAACAGATGAACTGAGCGTGTACCTGAGTCGTCGAC